CTAGGATTCCATGAGTTGGGGCCACACACAGACTGTTTTGATACAAGGCCGGGTGTATTTTCTAACACACCAATATATAGAAAACACCTGTTTGGGACTGAAACTCGCGGTTCATGTCCAAAGGATGATCTTTTACGTAAATACTCCCGTGGACACCTGTGTAAGAAGCAAGCCATATCCATTTACCTAAGGAATCTAACTGACCTCTTCCGGCAGAGCTCTTCCCAAGGGCAGCCAAAGAAGACATTTTAAAATCCTCCCCAGGAGTTTTGAGCAAGTTTGGGAAATGGTCACCTTCTGCTTCCACAGTGCCCAGAGGAAGTCAAGGCTCGAGCCCACTGCTGCTCCAGCAACTTCTCCACGCAAACGTAGGAGAAGGCCGGGCCACAGGGGGTGCGACGGCCACGGGGAAGGCTGCTGCAGGGAGTGGCTGGGGTGGCCGCTCCGCCCAACAGCATCGCACTCTGGACCTGCCCCTATCAACTCCTGGCCCTGGCCCGCCCGTCTGTCCCTGGAGCACTGGCCGAGGAGCTCATCTGGGACTTTAACCTGGTTAACATGGAGCAGGGCAGAGCAGCCCTTGCTGTCCCACGGGCCACCCTCTGACACTGGCCACTACTCTCGAGCATCCTTGTGCCACAGAGGGAGAAGGACAAGGTGGCAAAGACCCTACGATGCCACTTCCTGGGTTGGATCCTGAAGGGCAGACAAAGCACCCTGGGATTCCTCTGCACCGTCAGTGAAGGGGCCACAGTGAAGGGACTGCGATAAACTATGAGCCCCATCCCTGCCATGCTGGCCTGTTTCCCTCTAAACTTGACTCAGTTGTTTGCTCTTGTGTAATCCTTTGCATGCAAGACCCTCCATCCAGCTCCTTGAGTTTAACACGATAATTGGGTGGAAGGTGGCTAGTGACGGCGTCAGGGTCCAACTGATGGGGACTGTGAGTAGCACACGCGTGGACAGGAAACAAATGTCTGTGCCAGCACGAAGATGGCCACGCAACCACATGTGAATGTTGGTTTCAGTGGGGCTGCTGCGTGGCCCCACCTAATCTCTGCCCGAATCTTCAGTGTTTGATGTATCCTCAAGCCAGGGACTCTCAGACCCTCACTCTCACCCCATAACAGAAGTATTAGCAGGTTAGAATCCCATCCCCCCAAAACCATGCTAGTTTCCTTTTTGGTAACTTAATGACTTAAGTTTCTTAAGTTAGTGGTATATACCAGGAGCTGGCACAGTTATCCCACTATTGATAAATACGTATGTGTGGAAATCTCTATTTAAAGATAGCAGATGGTTTAGTCCAGTCTTTTCCCCTGGTTCCATGGAAAGAAATGGGCTGCAGGCTAAGCTATGCAAGATCAATGCAGACCCCTGCTCCAGGAGCACCTACAGAACCTTGACCCAGCCTGTCTTGGAGAGAAATGGGGGGCGAGGATGGTGTTCTCACAAACTAGACTGACACCTTCCTGGAGTACAAAAGAGGGAGTCATTCTGGTCCACTGACAGGCCAATGTCTACCTTTATTGACCTGAATACGTCTAGGGAGGCTACACACAGGCCCTACCCCCAAAGAACAGAAAAGGCAGCAGTGTCCGACGGTCAGACAACACGGTGATATCAGGGTGAGCTAGGAGAACCCGCGTCCCACACTGTGGCCAGCAATGTGGTTATGACCAATAACAATGACTCTGAAACCCCAAAGCCACCGATTTTGGTAAATTTCCCCAAAATTTAACCACTCATGCCATCATCACATGTGGCCAACGACTTGTGCAGTCACCTTAGTGGTCTCGCTGCCACAGTACACCTTGGAGGGAACGTAGGCTGTGGGTGTTATAGTGAGATCAGTGTTTAACTGGGGTCATTTGGTTCTATCACCTTTCAAAACTTCCCAGACTGGAATAACTGGGCCATTCTCTAAGGTGCAGAATTTTAGGACTTGAACTAGCAACACTCTGCATATTCCCAACTTTCTTATTAGGGAACGTTTGGATTCTGCCCATGGGTGTCCCCTGAACACCTCTTCCCATTCTGAACTGAGAATGCCAGACCCACTGGGCTGTTGGGATCTGCAGTTCCCCTAAAAGCTCAGAACAGATCCACTCCAGACACCATTCAGAGAATATACCTGGGACTCACTGCCCCTCCAAACTTTTATCCAAAGCTTGGCTGTGAAAATAAAATCAGCAAAGGATTACACTGAAGGTCGTAACATCTCTCCAGGTTCTAGTAATTCAAATCCATTCTTGGATTAAGCCACTCCCTTAGGGAACTATGTACCTGCATCAAGAATTTCAGTTCCCAGGAGACTGGCTTGCATTTGAAATGAATTGCATTTGAAAATGACACTGGCTCTTGCTTGCTATACAATTATTAATATATAACAAAGCCCCACTCACCCCCTTCTGTGCTCCAATAATATACATGCATGCTTTAAAAAAAAAAAAAAAGATGGAATTGGCAAACACAAGAAAAAGAGCAGGAATAGAAGAATTTTTGAAGAACTGATTGTGATTATATAATCAAGGGGTTGGGATGAAAAGCAAGCAGGCATCAGCCCTCCCACAGGAATTTTCTAGTACACACCGCTGTTACCATCTCAGCCCCTTGGCAAGAAGCAGCAAATGTTCCTCTCTCTGAGCCTGGGCCCAGCAGGTGAGTATGTGGGCACTTGAAATGTATCATCAATCAGATCTCACTTTTTAATGGGGAGTCCTCGTAAGAAGAATATTTTGATTACACTTCTCTAAGTTACATAAAGCAACTGGGTCAATAATTAGACCTTTGCTCTCTGACAGGGTCTTAGGAAGAACTAAGTCACCAAGAGGGCAGCCTCCCTGCTGATGGGCAGCTTTGGAGAGAGACCCCAGCAGAACCCCGTGCGCTTTGGTGTTCTGACAGAAGCTGGGGGGGTGTGGGGGCAGCAGGAGTGCAGAACTAGAAAGACCTAGATGTGTGGCAGTCCTGGAAAGGTGTGCGCTCTGGTCACAGGTGGGCCTCCTGGAACTGGTATTATGTCTCTCTCGCATAGAGACCACCTCGTGAACCAGCCTGACTCTATTCCAAAAATAAACGAGCAGTACTCGGAGCACAAAGGGATTTGGTCACTACAATAAAGAATATCTGTTTCTATATAAGAATACATCTACCTGCGTCTGTATACCTATATCTCAAACGCCTAGTGAACAGTAAGGCAGGGAGGTATTTCCATTAACATGAGAAACAAGTCAGAGATGCCTAATGAAACACCTGGTTTTTTGACATGGTTCTGAAAGGTGTAGCTACTGCTATAAGACAAAGGGCAATTCACACCAGCAAGCAAATTCAACACGAAGGACACCATCTGTTATCTACAATATTGGAAAAGATTTTTTTTCTTAAAGATAAGTGTACTGGAGAGTGCAGAGGAAAAGCCGTCTTGTCTACACTGCTGAAGGAGATAAACTGATACAATCTTTCCAGGAATTTGACAACATGCACCAAAAGCCATAGAAGCACACATAATCTTCAATTCAGGAAGCTGCCGGCTAGGAATTTATCCTAGGAAAATGGACAAGGGCACAGAGATATAAATAGAGGGACACTGATTAGAGTAATAGTGAAAAAATTCAAAGTAAATTTATTAGCCAAACGTCCATTTTTGAGATACTGTCGAGTCACTTATGGCATATCCGCACCATGGAATATTAGATAGCCATGAAAAATGGTGGCGTGTAGGTAAATCTGCTGACGTGGAAAGACCTACCATTAGTGAGAAAAGCAGGCTGCAGGCAGAGTATGCAGGGTGACCATATGCTTGTGGAAGGAAAAAGCACAGAAACAGCTGGGAGTATGCACCCCAAATGTTAACAGGCTTGTTCTCTAGGTGGTATTTTAGGAGTGATGTTAATTTTCTCCAATATGCTTATTTCTAACTTCTTGTCAGTAATTGTGCAAATTTAAAAAGCATTTAAAATTTTTAAAAATTAATAGTGATATATGGTTGGCCCTCCGTATCTGTGGTTCTGCATCTAGAGATTCAACCAACTGTAGGTTGAAAGTATTCTAACAAAAAAATAAAAATAATATAAATAAAAAAAAAACCCAGTATAACACCTACTTACATAGCATTTACATCATATTAGGTAAGTAACCTAGAGATGACTTGAAGTATACGGGAGAATGTGCACAGGTTATATGGAAATACCAGGCCATTTTACGCTTGAGCGTGCTTGGATTTTGGTATCTGAAAGGGGTCCTGGAACCAGTCCCCTGCCAATACCAAAGGATGACTGTGATCATCACCAACAAACACTAAATGTTCTAATCTACACATTTCTCTGCATCAAGGAAGATTCATGGAACATATTGCTACGGAACTATAATTAATACCCCAACTTTAAATTTTATCAAGGCTTGCAAAAAGAAGTAACTGCTGGTAGGATGTCTACATTTTCCCCTAAGAATAAAGTTAATCCTGTTTTAAAAATCTATCTCATATAAATGACCCATATAACAAATTTTATTAACACATAGAGAAAAGTTCCTCCTGCCTTATGTGAACAGGAATGTGTTCTTTATCTGGTAATAAAGATTGAGTCATGAATTGCATTTAATGTCTTGTGTTTGCTCTCAGCTTTTCAAAGCTTAATCCTGGGTTCCAGTGTAACTGTTTCCTTCATTCTAGATTTTCAGACAGATCACTGTTCTTTCTCGTTTCTATTAATACTTGCCCCTGTCTTTTTGCTCTCATTTAAAATTTTACTTCGCCTGTGCCTTTTATTGTAATTTTTTGTAGAATCAGTAAGCCACAGATTGTTACGGAGGAGAGGAAAGAGACAGGCATGTGGTCTCATGGAGCGCTGGGATGGTGCTATTTATCTCATGATTGGGCAGACTCCAAACATGACTTTAACTTCAAACAGAGGTGAGAGGCTGGGCTGCTGTCAGGGTCCCCTCCCTGCGTTTAGCTGAGGCCTGCGGCCTGTTCACCGCGCCGAGGGGGCTATACTCACATGTAAACTCGGATGGTAGGTCAGCACGCCATTGTCACACAGGGTGACGTATTTCTTTTTCCACTCTTTATTCAGTGATTTGCCACTTCGCTTCAACAGCATGCCCTACGAGGAAAAACGGCCAAATATTAAGTCTTACATAAATAAAGAGAAAGTAGGTACGTCGGTAATTTTTACACTTTTAAACTTTCCTTGTATCTTTACCATCTTAAGTAAATTACACCTATTTTTAGGGTGTTAATTTGGTTTTCTCCTCCCTTTTACATACAACATATACATACAACAAACTTCCATGTGTGTGTGCACGCACAGAACTTAGCTCTGTGATACAGGTGAATGCTAAAAGATATGCCCACTAGTTTGACAAATGTAACACAAAACATCACGATGTGCTAAGTTAGACCTTTCGTATAGCTACGTTACAAGCACATAGAAAACACCCAAAGGTATGATGTTTTAAAGAAAGAAACCTCAATTTCCCTTCCTGAAAACAGCACATTAACTGTATTCTCATCTTACATTTATAAATAAGAATATTTTATTTTACAGTTGCTTTCATTTCCTATTTTTAACTTATCAAACCTGAAATTCCACTGGCAAATTTTAGTAGCATTATTTAATACAAGAATTGTGTGTAACATGCTTTAATCCACTTTTAATGAAATCATATTAGAGCTCCTTGAAAACCACTCAGAATTGGAAACCAACACGTTTGAAGCCATGTTTAATCCGGTTGTTTATAAACGTCTGGTGAGAATTTCTTCTTGTTTCAGCCACCACTTCCCAGCAAGCCTTCCTCCTTGTGCACAGGCTCTCCAGGGTTCGGGCGCCTGGTGGCCGACACGGAGGCCTGACACCTGCCGGGCGCTCTCTCCTTCCCCGCCCGGCGCCCGGCATTCCCAACCGAGTCCCTTTCAGCTGGAGCTTTCACCCCAGGAGCGTGTGCTCTGCTCCCTGCTGTCATCTCTTAACTCCTGTCCATGCGGAATAAGGAGAAGGCAAGACTCTCCTTTGCTCTTCCTCTTGCTGCTGTCCGTCTACGAGCTTCCATGATCACAACAGCGACTGAGACAGCCTCGGACTAATGGCAGTTAGTCCCCCAGGCTGAGGCAGAAGGAAAGTTCCAAGTGCTGAAATACAACTCAACACCTCGAGAAAGCAGAGACCCCCGTGAGTTGCCTCCCCCAACCTCCAAAGTTCTGTTCTCCCTCAACAATCACAATAGGAGAAAAAATTGTTATCATGTGCTATAACTGAGTTCAAGTTTCAATTCATTACCAATATTGTGACAATATTGTTTTTTATTTACTCAAATCACAACCACATTTCACAGATACAATAGATTATGAGCCAGCTTGGGCTCTGACCACCATAAGACATTGCTGCTGGGAGGAAGATATTTGAAAGTCTGAAACAACTCACAAATGAGCCTTTGGAAGATGCTTTCTCTGCAAATTCTTATTATTTAAGGTAAATGTGGCAAAAGGCAGCATACCTGGATCCCTTGGAACCTAAACAAATGGGAACCAAACACGGCTCTGAACCAAGCCCACAGGAAAATGTTACTAAGTTACAAATTAAGGCAATAAAAGCTTCGTGGCCTGGTATCAATTAGTGGGAGAGGCACAGGTACCACCAGTGATGCGATCATAAACAAGCAGTCGCTTCAAATCATTAAATATCCTTCCCCAGTGGGGTTCATGGACTTTAGAACTTAGCCTAACAAAACCTCACACGGTTCTCCTGGGGGCTCACATTTTCCATTTTCCATTTCAGATGGAATGCCAACGATGCCAGGGCCGGGGGCACTGGTGTCACTGGTGGATCAGAACTACTCCCGGTTTCGTTCACAAAGCTTTGTCCCTGCCCACTCGGGCCAGCCCCAGCCCCAGCTCACACCCTGGGGCCTGCCAGAGGGACTTAGGCAGCTCTTCTGGTTGGCTTGTGGGTGATTTTATGAAACTACCCTTCCCCAGTGAAGGCTGCTGGGACTTATTTAACAGGAAACAAGGGAAAGAGTCCAATCAGGAAGCGTGTGAAGAGATGGCTTCATAGTTTTCTGAGGAACTATTAATAAATGAGGCTGATTTATTTTGATGCTAAGAAATCTTAATGTCTTGGTGAAGGAAAAATCCAAATCTTGACAATCTTAAATAACCCCGATGGCTCACCTAGGAGGATAATCTTGGCTTACATGCAGTATTCAAATGCTGCAGAAGTCAGCGGGGCTGCAGAACACCCTGGCGTCCTAGGAGCTGTGTTTCGGCCCTGCAGCGTTGGCCTCAGCTGAGTTTATTATCTGAGCCCCCCACCGCAAGACTGCTGTGGAGACCTCAAGCCACCCACCTCCCTGCTCCCCACCTCACGGCTGTGGCCACGGAAGGTGCACCCTTTTTTAAGTGCCCTGAGCACTACCCCTCTCTGTGCACAGCGCATTCACTGTCTCCCCGTGTCCCATAAGCAACAGGGCTATGCTCTCTCGTGGTTCAGAACCGAAGGTGTCGGGTCAGGCAGTGGCTGGGGTGCCAGAGTTTTGAGTTACCAACAAAACTCTGAGCCACAGAGGTCGGGCGATCTGTTGGCTAACAGGAAGTGGCAGGACCAGCCCTCCTGCCTTCTTCACTCCTGCCACCACGCTGGGCTGCTAAATTCTTCAGTTCCTACTCGTGGGCAATGACCTGCTCCCCAGACGGAACTTCCGGGCACGCCAGCCACTGCCTGACCCAACGCCTGCAGTCTTGAACCACGAGTTCCAAAGCAAAAACACCAAGGGGTGGGTTGCACAGGATACATCTGGAAGGACTCTGCACCCTGTGTCCCCTGCCCAGAGGGAAGTGAGAGCCCACGACTGCTCACATTTCGTCTTCACATCGCACTGCACAGCTCACAGAGGATGTTCTCCAACTCCCAAGAAACGGCAATTCGCCTGCAGAACATGAATGGACAGGGGTTCCATTTCGGGAGAGCTTGGTGAGCTGCCCAGGTGATCTGAGCACACGTTCAAGTCTGAGCAGCACTGGAAACCTGACATTGTCTCAGGAACCCTAACCTCTCTGAGGAAATTCTTTAAATTTTGAATTTTTATCTTAATGCCTGCATCTAAAAAGTGATCTGAGAAGTGCTATGGATTTCACCGCCTGAGTTGACATTTACACTTGTAGTCACAAGTGGTGCTACCGAGGAAAGCACCGAGGGACACGTAACATGTAAATAACTCACTCTTTGACCAAGTAAAACCCAGATGACAGCTTTGCATGCTGCACAAAACAAAATAGTTTCTCGGTATGAATGAAGAAACGTGAGGGACTGGGGTCGCTACACTACACCGCCACGAGGTGAGCTGAAAACAAAAAACCGCACAGTAACAGCCGGTCCCCACCTTCACCTGACGGTGGCAGTGGTTTCCCCAACACGCCAGCATCCTTCACATGAAACTCATTTAATGCTGTTCATTTAAATTTTATTCTTAAAAAAAAATCAGTTGTAGTTAACTCAATTATTTTTGGTTTTATATTTATTTAAGAGCTATAAACTCAGGGAGTTGACATTTAGCTTTATGCTTGTACATAATTATGTATTATTATCATGAAAACAATGTAAGTCAACGTTGGGAGGATCTGTGAGATTTCTGTTCCTTTGAAGGGTTTTAAGCTGCTCCTGTCTGGGAAAGGCTGGTCTAGAGCAGACAGGAGCAGAGAGGTACTTGGGGCCGAGAGGCGTGGGTCAGGTGGGAAGGAGAAGGCGGTGTGAGAAATACTCAGGAGGTGAAACAGAAGGGCTGGATGAGACGGGGATGGCAAGAGAGATGCAGAGCCCTGCCTGGGAGAAGCCAGGCTGTTGTAGTGGCCACGGGCTGTCAGTCGCTGAGCTATGGGAGGCAGGAGATGGTGGCCAGGAGGGGAGAAGAGGAAAGGGAAAGGAAGACCAGGGATCAGTTGGACAGCACTGGAGGTGGTCCTGGCCACCAGGTGATGTGAGGCAGACTGTGTGGAGGATCACGCCCTCAGAGGGAGCTGGGACAGGAGGCGCAGCTTAGGGGGAGCCCAGGGACAGCAAGAAGCTTAAGGGGAGGAAGGACCACACCTACGGTTTAGCGCTCAAGGGCTGGGCTATAATCTGATCACCCAAAACGGAACCAGAATCCCACTTTGCAGAATCATCACCCAAGGGGCAGCAAAATTTTCCCGAGAATCATTAAAATCATGATGCAATCTTGTAACGGGTTGACTAGCTCCTTCTTTAAAAACAAATTCAAATGTTTCAAATATTTCTAAAATTATACAAATTGATAATAAAAAGCAACCTGTTCACTTTAGGAAACCAACAGACTATTTGCCATTCCAAATGAGGAAGACCTGTGGTAAGGAAGCAAGCAGAGAGAGAGCACCCTGCACCTCTGCTGCAGGTGACAAATGACCTGCAAGTGAGGCCCTGACTCTGGAAACAAGTGACGAGATCTCATCATGGGTCTGACAGTTCATAATATGGGAAAACTTAATTCTCATTAAATGAATCCCTGTTAAATATAGACAGATAATGCACTCAGTTTTTAAAACGAAATAAAAATTTGGAAGTCCCTAGCACAATTATAACGTATGTTAGAAGGTATCTTGGTCTGATTAGTCAGGATAATCAGAAAGCCATAAAAATAACTGCACGTGTTGTCGGGCAATGAGATATGAGTTCATCTGTCCACAGCTAGCACGAAAGTGTCAGGCTCCTCCCTGTCCTGGCTTCTTGGAGCCGGGTAAGCACACGCAGATGGGAAACGTGCGACAACACACTTCTGGGACGCACAGGAGAGCAGGTCAACTCCGCCTCCAGGCAAGGCTGCAAGGTGGAACCACGGGAGACACTCTGGGAATCACGTCTCAGTGGCAGCCACCATAACACAGGTACTCCGCACAGTAAGCACATCACTCCAGTTAAAAAACAAAACTACCTGTCCCTAAGCAGCACAGCCTTGAGGGCGTAACAGACCTGTGCCAACGGGTCTTAGCCGTGGCAAACGTCACATGGCCACGGGAAGGCTGCCCGACCTGGGCATCGGATCATGCAGCGGAGGGAGGGCGTGATGGCCACACGCAAGAACAGACAGGGCTTGT